ATTGCTGTGGCCCTGGGCACAAGTACGCCGATCTTTGGAGGCGCGTGTGGAGGAGGCTGCTGGACGACCTTGGCCCGGAGTTCCTCACGCTGAGGCGGCTGCGCTCGCACTCCTCCTGGGCCAGGGCGAGCGGGTCGAGCACGTCCTGGCAGGCCTTCGCTGGCAACAAGGAGGCCGACCTGCGGGCCAAGGACGGTGCCCGGCTCCATCCTGGGCAGGCGCGGCTCCAGGAGCTGAGCCGCCGCGCTGAGGCCGCCACGGAGAAAGCTGTGGCCTGGTGCGGCCACCACGGGGGGGTCCTCAAAAGGCTCGCGGACCTTGGGTGGCCCGACCGCGGGGCCCTCCCTGGGCCCAGGGGTCCCGATCCTGGGGAGCTGGCTCTGGCCAGGCCCGACAGGGGCCACGTTCTGGCGAGGCTCGGGCGGGCCTGGGGCTGTGCCGTCTGTGGGATCCGCAGGGCTTCCAGGGCCAGGGTCGTCGCGAGCCCCTGTCCAGGACTCCCGTGGCTGGTCGCCAGGTCCCACCCATCCCATAGGCTTTGGGTGACTCGGGGTGGGGACGGGTCTGGTCGGGAGTCCTCTGGGATGGGTGGGTGTCTCGTTTTTTGTCGGACATGTGGGGCGCATGGGAGTCGTCAGGCGAAGCTCCTTGCCGATCCTTGCCTCCCTCTGTCTCGCAAGAGCCGCGACGCGGCGCGACTTGCTCGCCGCGCCCTCGAACGTCTGCGGGCGGGGCGTGATCCCCAGACAGGCGCCCGCTGGGGCGGGACCCCTTTTCCTGTCTCGAGGGCTGCGGTGAGCAGGGTTTGAATTTTGTGTTTGAAGCTCCCAGGACCCTCGCCTGCGCCAGGTCTTCCTTTCCTTCCCTGGCGGGCCCTGGGTTAGCCGTGGAGTTTGGGTCCCCGGTCGGGGTAGAGGTAGGCTTGCTGAGCGGACCACCTCTTGGTAGGAACCAGAGGAACCAGAGGAGGAGGAGGAGGAGGGGGAGGAGGAGGAGGAGGAGGAGGAGGAGGAGTTTTGCCCGCTCAGGAACAGTGTTCAGGGGCAAACATTACGCCAACTGCATCCGATTAAAGGCCTTGGCCGCTTGGGAGTGCCCTGGCCAGACCCCACGCTCGAGCAACTGGAGGTTTCCCAACCCCGAGTTCGTAGGAGGGTCACACATTACCACAAGGCCTCTGAAAACCCCGTTCTCCCTCGCAGAGCACAGCCCACAAGTGGAACAGGAAATCACTGGAACTTGGGCGTGGGATCTAGCAGTGCGACTAGGATGAATGACTCAGTCAGCAACCCTGGTCCCTGGAGGCGCGGGGAACGACATACCAGCAACAAGTGGCTCCACCGCCTGGCAGGTACTCGCCAGCCACTCGACGATATCCTGCTTAGGGCCCCGTCGGCTCTCCAGGCAGCGACGACACGAGAAGCGGGACCCCGCCTTCCCACTTCGGCCTTTTGGCCGCACGATATCATGAGACGTAACAGACAGGGCACGGTCAAGTTGCCTGATTACTTGGGCCGCGACGGAGCGTGTTCAATCCGAGACACACCCACCCGAGGACCCACACGCGCACACTCCTCCATCACGGCCACCAAACGCTTCCTAATCCTACTAGCAAGCTCCTCAGCCTCCTGGACTCGATCGACTTCGGCCCCTGAAAGCTGAAAACGATGAGTGGCCGCCTCGGCCTGGCGGTCAACAGTGTTGTTGGCATCCCTCCAAAGGTCAGGGATGCCCAAAAACTCGGCCCTGGAAGCGCTGGGATGAGACTCCACCTTGTGGGTCGTCAGCTGCACCTCACCCAGAGCGTCCCAGAGGCGCCGCCAGATATCACGATTGGTGCGCCGCTTCAGGCCGCGAGCCGATACCCCTCGAGCTACGTAGCTCGAGTCGGTGATGAAATGGAAATCTCGCCCAGGACCCGCGCAAACCTCCGCCCACCGAAGTAACGCCCAAAGCTCAGCACGAGTGACGGTCTACACGGGTCCCGGGACCCCTCCCGAGAGCCCCTGGGCATCGGAGATTTGGGTCCAGATTGGGATCCTACACTCAACCGCTATGCTACAACAGCTCCAGGCACAGCGTCTGAGCCTAGGATCTCGCGTGTTTACTCCTCCCGACCCGTCACCCGCCCCCCACCACTCCGTCCCAGGGTCCGTGCCGCTGCCGCTTGCAGCGTAGGACCAGCTCGATTCGATGGGGGCATCACTTGGCGGGGTGACCTCTGTCCAGCTGGACGGCAGGAGGCCTCTCAGCCAGACGACGGGAAAGGAAGAGGCTTCTTCAAGGGCTCTTCCCTTCACATCCTGCGTGTCAGCGCAGGCTTGCAGATGATAATTGGCAGCACACTTCCCATAACGGTGGACATCCGTTTCGGCAACACCAGCAGAGCAACGCTGACATATAGCATTACCTATACGACCGCCCTGCGGGCGATAAACAGGTTGTGGGGTGATTGAGATCAAATGCCCACCCTGACTGACCTCCAGCCTTTCACCTTGATATCATCTCTCTTTTTTTGTTTTTGTTTTCTCTCTCTCTCTCTCTCTGATGTGATCGGACTGGCCCGCCGCAGGCGCAGAAACAAATTAATTGATGGATTGGGTGGGGTGGATTGGGTTGGGTGGGATAAGATAAGATGGGACAATATGGGTTGGATAAGATAGGGTGGATTGGATTGGACAAGACGGATTGGATAAGATATGCTGTATTGAATAAGAAAGCCCGCCGCAGGCGCCGACAAAAATGAATTGATGGATTGGGTTGGGTGGATTGGATTGGGTGGGATAAGATGGATTGGAGAAGATAAAATGGGTTGGATTGGAATAAATGGATTGGATAAGATAAGATGGAGTGGATTGGCCCGCCGCAGGTGCAGAAACAAATGAATTGATGGATTGGGTGGGGTGGATTGGATTGGGTGGGATAAGATAAGATGGGAATGGGTTGGATAAGATAGGGTTGATTGGATTGGAGAAGATGGATTGGATAAGATATGCTGGATTGGATAAGGAAGCCCGTCGCAGGCGCCGAACAAAAATGATTTATGAAATTAGCGACATGCGTTAGCGCCGGTACGCCTGGGACACCCGGGACACCCAGGACACCGCCCGGCCCAACTGGGACACCTCCTGGCCACCGGCGGACGGGAAACGGACTTTCGCTCCTACGGACACCTGGGGCACCCGGGACACCGCCCGGCCCAGCTGGGACACCTCCCAGCCACCGGCGGACGGGAACGGAATTCGCTCCTACTTCGGCCTAGCTACATGAGGATCACGCGCAGCTTCGCCTCGCCCGCACGCACGACACGAACACGAAACCGAAACCGATTTCCCGGTGGGGGGTCTCCGTTTCACTGCGATCTCACCCCCCAACCTCCGAACAATCTTCGATCGTGCCTTCCTCGAGCAGTCGGCCCTTGGACCAAGTCGCAGTCGTGGCCGCCGCCGCCATGAGAGAGCCCCTGAAACGAAGGGCTTGCTGAGAGCCGTTCCTGTACAGCGCAAAAAGCCACTGGCGGATCGAGTAGAGGTCAAGGCCCCCTTGGGCCCCAACCCCTTGGTAAAACTTGGCCACCCGACGCCACAACTTGGGCCAGACCGACTCGAGGACCTCTTGAACAAACGGCTCAAAGTCGATAAAACCATGGGCAGGGAGCTCTAACCTCCAAAGGCTGCCAGAAGGGGGCCAACCACTCGAGTCTCTGGGGATCCTGCAGAAGCCGCCCGTGGTCCAACAGCACCGCCAAGACCCCAGAGATAGGCCCAGATGCGAGAGAGCAGAGGCAGGGATGGGAGGAGGGTGGAGGGGGAGGAGCGCTGGAGGTGAGGTGAGGTGAGACGAAAACGACGACCCAACATCACAGGATGATTGGGAAAAAACACGTGGTTCCAGCAAGGGACAACCATGTTAGAGACACCCCTGGGTGACCTGGGCCTTCGTGGGGCCTCCTGGAAAAGGGCATTGTATAGGAACATACGTAAAAGCACACGGGTTCGTGCCCCATGGAGAGGGCCAATCTATGGGAACACAAATGAAACACACGGATTCGTGCCCCTGACCCAATTGTGTCCCGCACCTTGTGATTCACCAATCTGGATTTCAAGAACCACTGTTTCGCTAGGGCCATCCGCAATTTTTCCACGCCGAATGGGACCTTACTTTGTTGTTTATCGCAAATAGTTTCGCCGGCCAAAAAAAACGGAGACAAAAACAGCGAAAAGAGAACCTTGATTCCACGCCGAGTGGGATTTTTACCTTGTTCTGTATCGCGAATGTCCTCCTCCTCCTCCTCCTCCTCCTCCTCCTCCTTGGCCGAAACGGGAGGGGACACAAAACTGAAAGAGAACCTCTGGCCCACGCCTTTTCCGGGAAAAAACCCTTCATCCGTGCAAGTGTGAGAAATTCTGAGAACGATTGTACGCGGCGCTGGAAGGAGAGCCCAATGTTGAAAACGACCCCCTCCAGCTCGGTGACTGCTGCAAGCGTTTAGGGCACATGTGCGCGGCGCTAGGGCGAGAGCACCATTGTGAAAACCACAACCTCTCCGTCCTCATCATTGTTGGCAGAATATTCTGAGACGAATGGTCGCGGCGCCAATGCGAGAACCATAATTTGAGATCCCCCCTCTATCCGTGTAGTTCTTGAGCATGTGTGATATGAATGTGCGCGGCGCGTGGGCGGCAACCACATCGAATGGGTGGAAAGCTCAGGCCAAACGCCTGGCCCGCCCTACCAACTCATCTGGTCTCCAGGCGAAGAGGGGGCATCTGTTAGGAAAATGGACTGGGACGTGATGAGGAGACAGGAGGAGCAGGAGGAGGAGGAGGAGGAGGAGGAGGAGGAGGAGGAGGAGGAGGAGGAGGAGGAGCTGGCGGAGGGGAAGTCCGGAACATGATTAGCGCGGAGGGAGAAAATTGGGATGGCGCAGAAGCAAAGCAGGAACAAAAGCGAACGCGGACAGGGCGGCTCATTCCCCCCTTCTGCCCCCCCCTCGAGAGGCGTCGGCGCGGGCGTGGTGCCTCTCCGCTCGGAGCGTGCCGCGAGCTCAGCATCCCACCGCCGAAGCGCCCCCCCTCACGTCGATCTGGAAGGAAGGGAGGAGGAGGAGGAGGAGGACGAGGAGGAGGAGGAGGAGGAGGAGGAGGAATGGGGGGGGCGGAGAAGGAAGAGGAGGAGGAGGAGGAGGAGGAGGAGGAGGAGGAGGAGGAGGAGGACGGGTAAGACAGGGTGGAGGGTGCGCCACACGGCCCCCGCGTCAAGGGGCGGAGTTCGCAGGTGCTGCCATTCGCCAGGTTCCGCACCGCCCCTCTCTCGCAAGCTCTGCGTCCAGGGGGGCTCCCCCTGCGGCTACGATGGGCTCCTCCTCCTCCTCCTCCTCCTCCTCGTTGCCACCGCCCCCGTGGGGCGCTCCACGCACTGCCCCAGACGCGGGAGCCGCATGCACTACAGTCGGGGCCCTGAAGAAGGAACCCTTTTCGTTGGGGAGGGGCTCCGTGTTCCTTGATAGTTTCGCAGCTTGCCTTGGGTTTTCTTTAGGTTTTCGATGTGAATTCGAAGGTTCACTTATGGAAAATAGGGGCCTCGTTCCCTATTTAGGGTTCCTTAGGTCAACGCCCCGACTGTACCACCGCACAGCTCGGCACTACCACTCACGCGGACCGTGCCGGCATGGCGAGCGTCAGCTGTGGCCCCAGCAGCGGAGGACGCGCTGCCGCCGCGCAGCTCGTCACACCCCCTCGCGCAGCTCGTGCCTCACGCGGGGCCCAGCACGCCCGTGCGTGCCTGCTGCGCGCCCCCCTCCTCCTCCTCCTCCTCCTCCTCCTCCTCCTCCCCCTCCTCCTCCTCCTCCTCCTCCTCCCCCTCGCCCTCCCCCTCCTCCTCCCCCTCGCCCTCCTCCTCCCCCTCGCCGCGCGAGCACGGTGCAGAGTTCCAGGACGACCTGGTGGAGCTCCTCCTGCCACGACCCTCCCCCCAAGGGAACCCTTACAAGCCCCTCCTGGCCATACACTGCGCGCCGCACTGCCCGCGGCGCGCAGTGTATGGCCAGGCCACGCCACGCACTACACGCAGCTGCGTGGGGTTGGGCCATCCGCCAGGCCATCGTTTTTCGGGCACGGCCTTTTTGTTGTTGTTTTAGCCGTCGTTATTCCTTCTGTGCTTATTCTCCCTTCCGGGACGCGGGCTGGACTATTTGGACTGGCTGACTGACTGGCCACACCAGTTAGCATATCGTGTTTTGTCCCGGGCCGAGGGCGCAACGTACGGCACGCAAGTTATGGCATGCGCAACCTACCATTTAAGGTATGCCGCAATTTGACGTGTTCCCTTGTCGCGAGACTACTGTCGCGTCCTATGGCGCAGCTCTTGGTAGAACCGATGGCACAGCAATATGGTGCAGCCTATGACGCAACATGTGCCGCAACGCGTAGCGCAACTTATGTCGAGACTTGTGTGAAAACCTGCGGCGCGATGACCGGCGGCTGTCCCCCTGCCGCAACCATGGCGCCATGCTGACGAAACACATGGCGCGACCGCAGGCGGACCGTATGACGAAACTTACAGCCGAGACTGCACCCTCTGACGCAAGTTATGGCCCAGCCCATAACTATTGAAGTTGCAACTCGTGCGGGGTCGGGAGAAGTAAGAGGGGCGAGGGGGAGAGAGAACGGGAGAGGAATATTATACTTACGCAGCGAAATAGGAAGAGGAGGAGCAGGAGGAGGCTGAGGTTGACGAGGTAGACGAGGACGAGGATGGCGACGAGACCGAAACTGCGTAGGAAGAGGTAGGCTAGAGCAATCGCAATTGGCAATCTCAGCTTCTACATACAGGGGTCCGCTCGATCCATGCTCGCCCTTCGTGGTTGCAGTTGAGCCCAATCTGCAAGCTGCGTTGTGGTTTTCTTCATTTTGCGTGACTTCTTGGCGAGCCTTTTATCCCCTCCCCCCCCGCAACGCTTAGAATGTTTAGATTGCGGGGGATGCTTCCGAAGTGTCTATCCTACATGGTGTATGCTGGTGAACTAACATGGAGGGCGGCTATGCAATATGTAAGATACCCGTACTGTCTTTGCATGTCTTGGCTATTCAGTTCCAATCTCAGGTCGAGCATTGTGTGGGTGTTCGCCAAGTTCCGCATCAGCGAGGGGACCCTTTTGCGCCCTGTCATGGACCGCGCTGCCAAGGCCGCGATGTTCGGGTTGCTGCCTTTCCCAGCGATCAGGAGATGCCAACGTCAGTGGCATACATACTTCGCACTCCCCCTCATCACCACCCTCGCCCGCACGCACGATACGAACCCGAAACCGACACTCACCCAACCTCGATCTCACCCCCCAACCTCCGATTCCGCCCTTCCTCTCATCATCCTCGCCTAGATTCCCCAAGCTTTCAATTTCCTTGACGGTTTCTGAACTGCGCTCGAGGAGGTATCCCCGGGCCGGTGGTCCAGGCAGTTGTCGCTTCATGAGGTCCGAGCACTGGTTTTACGTTGGCTTCGACGTGGGCTTTGACGTCTGTGTGGACACAGGTTTGGACATGGTCGGACGGGGCTAGGACGAGGATCAAGCGTATCCAGTTCCAGAACGCTCTAAGAAGGCCGCGGCTCCCAAGACATCTTCCAGAGCGACTTGGTCTCAGATATTCTCAATTATTCCTTACCCCGTGTTATCCTCGGCCTGGTTTCATTTTGCATGGCTTTGGTCATGGTTTCGACGTGGCGTGGGCGTGGACCTGGACGCGTGCGTGTGACTCCGCAGACACAGCGGTTTCATCACGCATAGGGTTCCACACGTGTGTTTATGGCTCACCCGATGGGACTGCGAAGATAATGGCGCTTCGCGCATCGCGGCCTGGGGTGTGAGATGCGACGGTCTCCAGGGATGCGGCGCGAGGGCGCGAAGATAACCGCGCGTCGAACGTCGTGGGGCGCAATGCCGGAAGTTATGCCACATTGATGATTCCACGCGTACACGCACGGAGTCATCTCGCATCAGTTTCCACACAGGGTCCCACGCATCCCATGTTTCACACAACGTTTGCTATGTGTGGGGCGTAACATGATGTGGTGCCACAAGCAGCACACTGGCGTCACGCGCACATAGGACCACACTTCTTCCACGAATGGCCTGCTTGAGGCCAACTCGCCGGCATTACCCCTTTCTCTGTGTTTTCTCCCAGGCATCTTGTGGTGTTGGGTTCTCGTTTTGAAGAGGCAGCGCCCCGCGTTCCTCCGCTCCTGTCCTCTCCTCTCGTCTCCTCTCCTTTCCTCCCCTCCTCCCCCTCCTCCCTTCTTCCCCTCCTCGTCTATGCCCTCCGCATGTCTCTGTTCCACCACACCCCTCACACGTTTCGTGTCCCCATAGGGGGCTCCATCGAAAGCCCCAGTGGCCGCATCCACATGCGTCCTCCCCGCCCATCGCATGCTGTCGGCATACCCCTAACACGCTTCGTGGCCCCATAGGGAGCTCCACCGAAGGCCCCAGCGGCCGCGTCCGCATGCGTCCTCCCCGCCCACCGCATGCCCGTGTCGGCACACCCCTCACACGTTTCGTGGCCCCAGGGGGAGCTCCACCGAAGGCCCTAGTGGCCGCATGGCCCCAGGGGGAGCTCCACCAACGGTACCAGTGGCGCAGTTGGCATGCGTCTCCCCCACCTTTACAGCGCTTCGTGGCCCCATAGGGAGCTCCACCAAAAGGTTCCAGTGGCGCAGTTCGCATGCGTCCGTCCCACTCAGTACAGCGCTTCGTGGCCCATAGGGAGCTCCACCGAAGGTCCCAGGGGCGCAGTTCGCATGCGTCCCCCCACTCATTACAGCGCTTCGCTGCCCCAGAGGGAGCTCCACCGAAGGCGATACCCACAACTGCGGTGTTCACAACTGCGCATGGTTGGGGTTTTCGCATGGTTTGGTTTGTCTGTCGCTTCGTTCTGTCTCCCTCTCGTTTTCTTCTTCTCTCTCTATGCCTCTTTCTCTCTCTCTCTCTATATATCTCGGTACCTCTATGTGTCTTCATCTCGATTTTGTCATTTTTCATCCACATACAGCTTGCAGATATCACTCGTTTTGTCTCTCTCACTCTGTCTCTGTCATCTTCTCTTTTGCCACTCGCCCGACAGGTTGGGGTCAGTGATAGATGCTTGTGGGAAACAAATTCTGCCCACCCTGGCAGACGGAGGTCGCCAGACCCCACGTGATCCCGATGATCCTGAGTGCCCCGCCTCGCGTCCTCGACGAATGACGACGCCATACCGCGGTCGCCAAGCCCAACAGGATCCCGATTATCCCTGGGTGTCCCGCTTCGCGTCCCCGGCGGATGACGACACCATGCATGTCAGGCAGCCCCGAGGGGGTGGCGCCACGACGTCAGACGTCGCGACGCATGAGCAAAGAGGCAGGAACCGCCGACGCCAAGAACACACATCAAACATTGACACATGTATCATAACACATTTGATGGCAGCGTCTATACTTCCATAAGGTAGCAGGCTGAAGCATTGTATGATGACCAGAACACCATACTAGACACAGACCACAACCTAGCAATACTAAGCGCGTTTCACCATACCATGACATATCAGGCCTTCGGTAATCTAGCGTCACCTTGTTGACCATGCCACTGCATAACACACGCGTATGGTATAACGGACTGCAGTTTACGCTATCACACTTGAGCATGCCATCGCAGGACAGCAGTGTCGAAATACTGACGCCTGCTTCATACCAGCAAGCGTACAGTGGTGCAAACGATATTTAACACCACAAGAACCCAACATTTGAAACTGAACCAGCCGCAACGTTCTATTATATGACCTGTTACAACGAAGCTGCATATATCATATGTGCATGCCAGGCCATAGCATGACAGAACACGACATTACACACCATATCATACCACGACATACCAAGCCATACTGTGACATAGCAGGGCATCCAGCGTATACTTACGATACGTTAAGCATAACGTACCATACGTGTTCCAGGATTGCTGCCACTACGACAACAGCATCTCTTCAACCTAACAGAACAGCACACCATTCAACGAGGACTGCGTACCATGTCCCAGCATAGTGACACATGCGTCCGCGTAGCATAACATTACATGCCAGGGAATAGCATACCAGAGCGCAACAACAACGTCCACATCATAGTATATCATCAAACTGTTGTATGCAGGGGCTACCTGGAGATAGCACACCATCATCTATCATACTATTGCATAAGCTTTCTTCAACTGCCACAGCTTTGACAACTCTATATGGTACGATGCGGCAGGAAGCCGACCATCGTATGGCAGGACAGCGTGGACTACTGAACGCAGATGACGTGATGCATTGAATGGCAGAAGAGGGTGCTACACATTCGAGTATATATATATATGTCACTAACAAAGAACAATGAGCCATCGCAAGCTAACTCACATCACAACTTGTATGGGAACGTGATGGAAGTGCGAGTAAGACGGCGCAGGCCATGAGTCTAGTGCAGCCCAAGACAAAACAATCACTACCAGACGCATACGTGCGGCAAGTAGAGTGCAAGCATGAGTCCAGGGTCAGATCCTAATCGAATATTTTTCATAAGACTGAACATGGCAGGGCAGTGCAACATAGAGTTTCACATGATCGGACAGAAGTTACGAGATAATAGTTGAAGACCGTCGGCAGCATCAGCGACCGATGAACGGCGCCCTGTCGAACGCCGACCGCAGTTGGCGAGCCGACGTGAGGCTGGCCACAGGAGTGGAACCTTTTTATAAACAGAGCAGGCCATATCAGAATCGAACATAACGTGATAGCGCAGAATGCAGCAACAGCCGTATACCTGCGTCTCGTCAAACGCGACATGCGCGCCGAATTCAGGCTCACTGCAGTTACAAACGATACGAGACTTGGAGCACATCGCCAAAGGTTTCGGTAGGGACCGATCGAAGCAAGGCACCTTATTTGATCATGTGCTGAGTCTCCATCTGTCTACCTCTCTTTCCCACCCCCAGTTTCTCTTTTTGTGTTCTCTGTCTTGTAGTTTTCTTCTGCAATCGCTTGTCTCTCTCTCTCTCTCTCTTATCTCTCTCTCTTCTCTTTCTGTGTCTCTCGCTATCTATACCGTTTGCTTCCTCCCTCTCTCTCGCATTTGTTCGCTATCTCTTCCTCTCTCTCTCTCTCTATTCTGTCTCTCTATCGTTCTCTCTCCACCTCCGTTCTCCCACTGTGTTCGCCATGTGGTTTCGGCGTTCGCTTTTAAGCATTCTGGTCGGTCTAAACGACCCGCCCTGATGAATCCATCAATCGAATGGCCTTCCGTGCCTGGGTTGTGGTTGTGGGGCATCTTGGATCCGTTGGGATCTCGTCAAGGCCCCTCGTGGGCCTCCTGGAGGCAGTTTTGAAGCCTCTGGGGGATCTTGGAGCCTGTTGGGTTCTCTTGGGGACCTCTTGGACCCACTTTGGGGCCTCCTGGGGCCTCCTAGGCGCCTCATAAAACGAAAGTTTTGGATTTTCGGTTCGTTCTCCCCCTCGTCTTGGGGCCGTCTTGAGGCCGTCTTGTGGCCCTCTTGGGCTGCGTTCAGGCTGTCTTGGGGACTTCTGGGGCCGTCATGGGGCGGTCTTGGGGGCCTCTTAAAGTGTCTTGGAGCGTCGGAAGCTCGCAAAGTGGACAACATTTGAACAACCGATGGACAAGTAGTGATGTTGGCCTCTTAGGGCGCTCTTGGGAAGGCTCCTGGGGCTCTCTAGGGGCGTCCCGTAGGCTGCCTGGGCCGTCTTGAGTCTTGCAGCCATTTTGGGTGTCTTGGCGCGATCGTGCGGCGATTCAGGGCTCTCTTGGACCGTCTAGGCGGCCTCCTTGGACCCCTTGGGGCCCAGGGGGCCCAGGAGAAGTCACGCGACAAGACTCGACGCGTCCCAGGAGGCACTCGCCAAGCCCCAAGATGTTAAAGTGGCCTCCGGCCAGTGCCGCCGATCCGGGGCGCTCCGGATGATGATGATGATGATGATGATGATGATGATGATGATGATGATGATGATGATGATGATGATGATGATGATGATGATGATGATGATGATGATGATGATGATGATGATGATGATGATGATGATGATAGATGATGAGGATGGATGATGGATGATGAGGATGATGAGGAGGATGATGATGATGAGAGAGAGAGGATGATGATGATGATGATGATGATGA